TGTCAAAATCCTTTGTGTTACGGCATTGAAATTCGAACAATACGTTATTTCAATGATTTTGGGTTTTTTTGAGACACCCTGTATTAGCAATTCGATTTCAATTCCCAGGGGCCTAAAATCTTTTATGCTTAAGAATTGCAAAGTGATTTCTTAGGAAATTCCGAGGTTGCGTTTTTTTTTTATACACCCTGTATATCAGAATCTAAGTTACGTGCCTACTAAAACTACAGAAACGTGCAGCGAGACTAATTCTTGAGCAGTCAACTGAAGTGCCTTCAATTGTGCTTTTCCGTAAACTCAACTGGATACCTATTTTTAATTTGATCAAAATGAGAAAAATATTATTGGTATTCAATACTTTAAAAACATCTTGGCCGCCGGATCTTCGTAAATTGTTTGTCTTTGTTCGCGACTCTCATCTAATTCCAACTAGATCGTCTATTACAGACTTAAAAGTTCCATCAGTTAAGACTACGCAAGCAAAATCCAAAATTTCCTTCAGTGGTGCAAGTTTATTTAATTCTTTACCTTCCGAATTAAAAGATATTGAAAATCACTCAATTTATTCCTATAAAAAGAAGCTCAAAACCTACTTTATTCAATTGAATTATGAAGTAGATCACGTTAATAAATTCCGCTGCATCGATTGTAAGCATATTATTCATTGTCAATGTTACTCTCAATAGGATTTTCTTTTTATATATTACTATTAGATATCGAGGGCCATTGGGAAGAATACTATATTAAGTAATCAATGTAATCCCTCATTAAATAAAGTTTTATTATTATTATTATTATTATTATTATTATTATTATTATTATTATTATAGCAAGTTATAGTCCTTTCTGAATGCAATGATATTTATTTCATTGCGATAGCTTTTATAGCTTTTACGTTACATGATATCAAACAGTGTCCGGTTGCTTTTTCTCCAAATTAAAAATAAAATCAATTTAACAATGATATTCTCTTTATATAGATCTGTAGACTTGGGTGAGTTTAACCGCGCAGAGAAAGGCCGAAAACTCTCCATGGTCGGTGATCTTACTGAATTTCAGCGACAAGAGAAAGGTCGCAAGCTATCTATTATTGGTGAACAGTTCGAATTCAAGATGCATAGTGACATATAACTCAGAAAAAATTTGAACTTGTGGAATTATTGTAAATATAAATTTTGGAAAAATCATTTTCTCAGTGGTATAAAATATGAATACGTTGTTGACCCTCAAGCCGTCTATCTCATTTTCAATTTCATTTCTACGGCTCAATTATAAACTTTCATGTTTCTCAATGCGGGCATTTGACAGTTTTTCATCGTCGATTGGCTAAGCTAATCATACTATACTGTGTGTGAAGAGATGAAGTCTGTTTTCATACGTCGAATTTGATTCAGATGCAGAATTTAATTCGTTATTAAATTTTCGTTTCAAACGACGAATTTAACTATTCAGACGAATTCACTTCACGACTAGCGATCAAATTTTTCCGGACATTAAAAAAAGGGTCGAAAAATTTTTTCGCACATAGACCAGTTAAATTAAGGTTCAAAAAAATTTTTCCGGACAAATTCCTGTTAAAACATGGGTAAAATCTATTTTTTCGGAGCAATATCTGTGAGGCTCACCAAGGGTGTAACCCAGGTCGCTTGTCACTCATTTTGTAGCCGCTTTGTCGCTTGTTTTATTGTAATAAATGTCGCTATCACTTTTGACCTATAACACAAATCGCCATTTGTCGCTTTTTTCCAGTCAGAAGCTGTCGTTTGTCGCTCTTTTTTCGATAGTCTGTCGCCTCTTTTTAATTGGGAATGTCGCCTGTCGGTCATAACCCCCTGATGGGCCTCATCTGTGAAATTTAGGTCTAGAAATTTTTTCTCATACCATTCTTCATATCAAAAAACGTTCCAAATGATTTTTTTTAATTTTGCAAATTTTGGAGCCCCTTAAAACTGGGGACCTGGGGCAAATTGTCTCTTTACCCCCCATCTGAAAGGCCCTGGCTGTCACAGTTCTATGTTTAATTCTATACATCCTCGCCACAATTTTGCTTGGATGTTTTGGCCGTGTTCTTTTTTGTGGCATGTTTGTATTATGTCCACAAAATCAACGATCATTTACCAGGACCACCTCGTTCGAGTTTCATATTGGGTCATCTCCCAGAGATTTGGAAATACAAAGCTGAAACTGGTAGGACGAGCGAGTTTCTACTGGAAAAACGACTGGAATACAGGACAATATTTATATTATTTTTTATTCACAACCCTATTGTATTTCTGGGAAACGCTACTAGCTATTTGCGACATGTTTACACAAATAATCATGCCAGCCGGCCGGCGCCTGTTTAAAAGTTCATTTTTCTATCCTGAATTTGGTTTTGTTTATGGTGAGAAGGGAGCTGGTTTTGGACTGGTAATGAATACAAATAAAGTATCGTGGCGCAAACGACGGCAACTTATGAACCCGGCTTTTCATCGTAAGTGCCTGAAAGATTTCATGGGTAATTTTAATAATGTTTGTGACATATTTATGACTAGCATGGCTGCAGTTGTTGATGCTGGTAAGCCAACCAGTATGGTCCAGGAATTTACAAATGTCACTTTGTCTTTTAATATCAATACCCACGCTATTGAGGATCCCAATTCCCCATTTCCAGGAGCAATACGGCACTAACTGTGCGGTGTGCAGGACAACATTGATATTCCATTCCACCCCGCCCTCCTTGGAATTTCCAGTTCACGTTGTTTCAGAATGCTATCAAAAGAGAACAAATTGATGCAGCACGATTTCTCAAGAAATTTGCCTCTGATTGTACCACCACTCGGATGAAGGACATTGCAGCCGTCCCTGATGACTTATCGAGTCTCTTGATTAAAAATGGCAGTTTGACATTGGATGACATTATTGATGAGTTAATTTGTGACCATATTCCTTGCCGGACAAGAGACAACTGCAAATTCATTGTCATTTACCTTGTATGAAGTCATTCGAAATCCCATGTTGAAGCAAAATTTTTAAACGAGATTAAAGAAATGCTTGGCGGGCATGATTATGTGGAATTTGATGATTTGGCAAAACTGAAGTATCTTGGTCAAGTTTTGGAAGAAGGTTTGAGAAAATACCCTGTAGCACCCCTTCTAGAGTGCTAGCAAAGACATTACAGTTGGAGGATATCATATTCCAAAAGGAAATGGAATTAACAGTCTGCAGATATTTTTTTCAATGAATCCTGAAATTTGGGATTCTCTGATGCTAAAAACATTCCACATTTTAGCATGACCATTTCCCCTTTTCCATTGGCCCACGTAAATGCATTGGACAGACGTTTGCAAAGTTTGAATCAAAAGTTATCCTTGCAAAATTACTGCAGAAGTTTCAGTTCTCGTAAGCGCGATTGAGTGCCGCCCCCGATCGAATGCCGCCCTCAAATAAGCGATTATTCACAACAATGCAGCGCTTCATCGAAGCACCACCTCAAAAATTGTTTCGTATCGCTTACAGATAAAATATTTTACAAGAAGCGCCGTCCTCGAAAAAAGTGCCGCCCTCAAATAAGCGCTGCATCTGAGTTTTAAGGTGAATTGCACAATTTTTAAGTAAAATCTGCAGGCTGATTTTTAAGTAATCATCTACCAAAAATTATATACCAAAAGTTCATAACCTATTATGTTAATCACAATTCATTGCCTGTTGGACCGAGTCAGCATAATCTATATAATAGAGCGTTTCCACATGACGTCACAGCCGTCATTTTGGTGTTCCAATAGACTTTTCCAATAATTACGTCACGACTAACACTCTTTTCAACTTAAGACCACCTTAAATGGAATGTATTTTAAGTTTGTTTCTCACGGGCTATTTTCAGAGGAGCAGAACATCCTTCTTCAACACATGTATAAAAAAGAATTTTGGATTTTGACCAATAAATGTGGAAATAAGCTTAAGTTTAAACTCGAAAAGGAGGCTGAGAGGCCAAGAGATGCCAAACTTATTTCTACATGTAATAGTCAAAATCCAAGATTCTTTTTTATGCATGTGTTGACGAAGGATCAGTCGACCTGCTTTTCTGACCACAACCCGCGAGAAACAATCTTGAAATCTATTCCATTTAAGGTGGTCCTAAGTTGAAAATAGTGTAGTTGTGACGTAATTACCGGAAAGGTCTATTCGATCAAAAGAATTTGAATTAGACTCTTTTGTCTGGAACACCAACATGGCCGCCGTGGCTTTTGTTGAGTTAGTCCCTGGGAAATTGAGTCAGTGCAAACGCTCTATAAGGATCTATTCCTGTACGCTGTTGTCCACGTGTTGACCGAAAGCGATATTATGCTCGGTTATCTGCCAACTGATGAAACTCGAACACGGAACATTACCGCTACTAGACGGCTAGACCTATTCCATCTTTCTATTTGCCGAGAGCTCTGTGCCGAGAATCTGTTCTGCCCCTATGCTAATGATTCGACAGAATTCCCACTCAAGTAAGAACCTTTGATGTATTAAAGAGGGTTCTGAAGGGGGGGGGGTCCCAATCCCATTTCCCACCTCAAATTTTGGCAAAATCCCAGTCCCAGTTGGATTTTTATTAGAAATTCCAGTCCGAGTTATTGAAATCCCAGTCAATAAAAAAACAACTTTATTTATCGGTACAATAAACAGTTTTAAAACTTTTAAGCCACCGTGTGTGCCAGTGGCGAACACGTTATGAAATATTGGGAGAGGTTCGTGCCGAAGGCACGGAAAATTTTTAAAATTGAATACCGGAAATGGCATTTGCAGCATTCTGAGACACGCATAATCAGAAAACCCAGAATAATATAGTTAACAACAAAAATCATGACCAAAGACACCAAAAACGGATCAAAATTGTATTTTAAAATACTTAAAACGTAGAAAAATTGGGAATCGACTCGCATTACCTCAATCCCATTCCCATTTTTGAGGACTTCATTTCCCATTCCCAGTGGCCAAATCCCAGTCCCAGCAACCCAAATCCCATTTTCCCAGTCAAAAATAGATCAATCCCAGTTCCCATTCTACCCCTTCAGGGCCCTCATTAAAATGTCGCCTCATACAGTCGTTTACAAGGGTAGAGAGTCGCAAATATTAGCCCTGCGTGGCAGGCCCTCAGTTTTATTGGCGGGCACTGTGGCACGGGGGTAACCTGAGATCTACCTGAGGGCCCCCTATACCTCTTCACAATATGCTTTCACGTAAAAATATTTTGCCTTTTCACGAGTCACGGATTAAGAAAATCATCGATCACGTTTCACGGCTAAGTAAAATAAGCCCTTCACGCTCCACGCAAAACGTATAGGGGGCCCGATCACGTTTCACGGCGAAGTAAAATAAGCTCTTCACGCAAAAAGTATAGGGGGCCCTCCTACCTGAGATCAGGCTCTATATATATATATATATATATATATATATATATATATATATATATATATATATATATATATATATATATATATATATATACGACAATGAGCAAAACTTGCCTTAGCCAACAGCACATAATATTACGACAAAGAGATGGCTACGTATCGAAGAATTTATTAAAGATGATGACTAAAGTAAAGTATACAAATAAATTTTCGGCCACTTGACACGGCCTTCCTCAGAATAAAAACTAAGTTACAGCACATGGCATTTATACTATTTAGCATGCTAAGTAATTAACCTAATCCTATTGTGCTGTAACTTAGTTTTTATTCTGAGGAAGGCCGTGTCAAGTGGCCGAAAATTTATTTGTATACTTTACTTTAGTCATCATCTTTAATAAATTCTTCGATACGTAGCCATCTCTTTGTCGTAATATTATGTGCTGTTGGCTAAGGCAAGTTTTGGTCATTGTCGTATATATATATATATATATATATATATATATATATATATATATATATATATATATATATATATATATATATCAGCTACTTTCATCCTGCTCATCAGCACTACACTGATGAGGCCCATAAGGCCGAAACGGTACCGTCCAAGCTTACAACATGTACTAGTCTTAGTATATGAACACACAAACATATATATATATATATATATATATATATATATATATATATATATATATATATATATATATATATATATATATATATATATATATATAAAATTTTTGGTTTACGAAACACAAACAGTGCTCAATACCATATAGATAGAGCGTAATATAGTTTTTCGTTTTACCTCAAAAAACCCACAAACGGTCTGTTTCATCCGTATAGGAAGTCAAACGAAAACTATATGTACTATTTAAAATACTCATTAATAATTCATAAACCTTGTGGCAAATCATGTCAGCCATAATATGTCACGTGGAGTGACTTTATATCTGATAAAACACATGTGGCATTATATAATTGTTCATCTTAATTAGCATGATTATACTATGGTTCATCCTAATTAGCATTCTGTTGTAGTCGTATTTTAAGCTATTCAAAACACTCGTTGTCGTGTTTTATCAGATATATAACGCTCGGCTGCGCCTCGCGTTATATATCTGATAAAACACTCCTACTCGTGTTTTAAATAGTACATATATAATTTAACTTACAGTCGATTTCAACTTACTTTTCACTCGAATGTTCCGAACTTCGTTCCGAACTTCGCAAATTCGTTGCGAAGTTCAAAAGTTCATAATGAAATTCACAAACAGGTTCGTAAACAAAGCCTCTGATTGGCTATTAAATCAAACCAGCCAATCAAATGCCCAGTTTGCAAACCTGTTTGTGAATTTCATTATGAACTTTTGAACTTCGCAACGAATTTGCGAAGTTCGGAACGAAGTTCGGAACATTTGAATGAAAAGTAAGTTGAAATCGACTGTAAAATATAGTCACAACTCTGAGTTTCACGCTCAATGCGATCTTCAGGCGACAATGTTTAAATCTCAATAAAAAAATTCCTGTGTGATTACTTGCGAGTTCGTTAGGCTACTTGCGTGATGGTATTGCGTGCGCACGTTCAAATTTTCCCGCCAAGAATTGTTTCCGGTGGCAACACTTCGAGAATAGCTCACATGAACGTATATGAAACAACCAAAAACAACCAAAAACGTATATGAAACAACACTGGAAAACTACAATAAAATTGTGAAAGATAACGTAACGAAATTACGAAAACATATAAACTTACTGACAATGATGTGATCATGATGTGATAGAGGAAATCAACTTTGAACTAAGCCAAATTACGGACAACCTTTCAGTCAGCGATCGTATCGAGACAATGGCATCAAAAGATGCTTTTGTTACATTAAAAGATCACAAGGAGAATTTTGAAACAAATCCAAAATACCGTCTTATCAACCCAGCAAAGAGTGAACTAGGTAAAATTAGTAAGATCATCCTGGATGACATTAATACACAAATCAGAAACGCTACCGGATTGAACCAGTGGAAAAATTCTTTATCTGTCATTGACTGGTTCAAAAACATCAGGAACAAACCTGGTCACTCCTTCCTTTCCTTCGACGTAGCAGAGTTCTATCCATCAATAACAGAGGAACTCCTTGACAAAGCCATCACCTGGGCTCGCGGGTACGTTAATATCGATGATAATCAGATCAATGTCATCAAACACGCAAGAAAATCGCTTCTGTTCAATGACGGAAAAACCTGGATCAAACAACAAAACAATTCCTTGTTTGACGTAACCATGGGCAGTTTTGATGGAGCAGAAGTGTGCGAGCTTATATAGGCCTATATTTACATTCAATTCCTTGGCAAAGAAATATGGCAAAGATCGTGTCGGCCTTTATCGAGACGATGGTTTAATCCTACTACGAGGTACTTCTGCCCGGCTTGCTGACAAAGCTAGAAAAGATCTCCACCAACTTTTCGATGAGTTTCAATTGAAAATCACCACAGAAATTACCCACCAATCTGTCAACTTCCTAGATATTACCTTAAATTTAAATGACGAAAGCTACCAACCCTATCGAAAGCCTAACAATGAACCACTTTTCATTGACAGTCATTCAAACCACCCTCCTTCAATTACAAAGCATCTACCATCTTCTGTTGGCAACCGAATTTCCCAGTTATCATCGAATCAAGAAGCTTTCTCGAAGTCTGCACCTCTTTATGAAGCCGCGCTCCACCGTAGTCATTACCCAACAAATTTACGCTACTCCCCT